ATGATTTCGTATTTATCTATCACCAGTTTCTAATGATGTAGCATAAATCACAAAATGTCAAAATTTGATGATTTTTGTTAATAAAATCAAGTATAGAATTAGTATTAAAACTGATGGAGAAAAACGTTATGAATAAAAAATATTCCTAATGCATCAAGAAATCATAATCTATATTTATGTCATATTTATCTATCACCAGTTTCTAGTGACGTAGCTTAAATCAATAAATTGTCCAAATTGGATGATTTTTCTTAATAATATCAACTAAATATAACGGAAGTAGTAAAACTGATGGAGAAAAACGTTATGAATAAAAAACGTTCCTAATGCATCAATAAATCATAATCCAGAATGATTTCGTATTTATCTATCACCAGTTTCTAGTGATGTAGCATAAATTACAAAATGTCAAAATTTGATGATTTTTCTTAATAAAACCATGTATAGAATAAGTACTAAAACTGATGGAGTAAAACGTTATGAATAAAAAATGTTCCTAATGCATCAAGAAATCATAATCTATATTTATTTCATATTTATCTATCACCAGTTTCTAGTGACGTAGCTTAAATCAAAAAATTGTCCAAATTCGGCGATTTTTCTTAATAACATCAAGTAAATATAACGGAAGTACTAAAACTGATAGAGAAAAACGTTATGAATAAAAAACGTTCCTGATGCATCAATAAATCATAATCCAGAATGATTTCGTATTTATCTATCACCAGTTTCTAGTCATGTAGCTTAAATGAAAAAATTGTTCAAATTGGACGATTTTTCTTAATAACATCAACTAAATATAACGGAAGTACTAAAACTGATGGAGAAAAACGTTACGAATAAAAAACGTTCCTAATACATCAATAAATCATAATCCAGAATGATTTCGTATCTATCTATCGCCAGTTTCTAGTGACGTAGCTTAAGTCAAAAAATTGTCCAAATTGGACGATTTTTCTTAATAACATCAACTAAATATAACGGAAGTACTAAAACTGATGGAGAAAACCGTTATGCATAAAAAACGTTCCTAATGCATTAGTAAATCATAATCCAAAATTATTTCGTATTTTTCTATCACCAGTTTCTAGTGATGTAGCAGAAATCACAAAATGTCAAAATTTTGTGATTTTTCTTAAAAAATCAAGTATAGAATAAGTACTAAAACTGATGGAGAAAAACGTTATTAATAAAAAATATTCCTAATGCATCAAGAAATCATAATCTATGTTTATTTCATATTTATCTATCACCAGTTTCTAGTGATGTAGCTTAAATCAAAAAATTGTTCAAATTGGTCGAATATCAACTAAATATAACGGAAGTACTAAAACTGATGGAGAAAAACGTTATGAATAAAAAACATTCCTAATGCATCAATAAATCATAATCCAGAATGATTTCGTATCTATCTATCACCAGTTTCTAGTGATGTACCTTAAATCAAAAAATTGTCCAAATTGGGCGATTTTCCTTAATAATATCAAATAAATATAACGGAAGTACTAAAACTGATGGAGAAAAACGTTGTGAATAAAAAATATTCCGAATGCATCAAGAAATCATAATCTATATTTATTTCATATTTATCTATGACCAGTTTCTAGTGACGTAGCTTAAATCAAAAAATTGTCCAAATTGGACGATTTTTCTTAATAATATCAACTAAATATAACGAAAGTACTAAAACTGATGGAGAAAAGCTTTATGAATAAAAAACGTTCCTAATGCATTAATAAATCATAATCCAGAATGATTTCGTATCTATCTATCACACAGTTTCTAGTGATGTAGCTTAAATCAAAAAATTGTCCAAATTGGACGAATTTTCTTAATAACATCAACTAAATATAACGGAAGTACTAAAACTGATGGAGAAAGACTTTATGAATAAAAAACGTTTCTAATGCATCAATAAATCATAATCCAGAATGATTTCGTATTTATCTATCACCAGTTTTTAATGATGTAGCATAAATCACAAAATGTCAAAATTTGATGTTTTTTCTTAATAAAACCATGTATAGAATAAGTACTATAACTGATGGGAAAAAACGTTATGAATAAAAAATATTCCTGATGCATCAAGAAATCATAATCTATATTTATTTCATACTTATCTATCACCAGTTTCTAGTGACGTAGCTTACATAAAAAAATTGTCCAAATTGGGCGATTTTTCTTAATAACATCAAGTTAATATAACGGAAGTACTAAAACTGATGTAGAAAGACTTTATGAATAAAAAACGCTCCTAATGCATCAATAAATCATAATCCAGAATGATTTCGTATTTATCTATCACCAGTTTCTAGTGATGTAGCTTATATCAAAAAATTGTCCAAATTGGACGATTTTTCTTAATAACATCAACTAAATATAACGGAAGTACTAAAACTGATGGAGAAAAACGTTATGAATAAAAAACGTTCCTAATGCATCAATAAATCATAATCTGGAATGATTTCGTATTTATCCATCACCAGTTTTTAGTGATGTAGCATAAATCACAAAATGTCAAAATTTGATGATTTTTCTTAATAAAACCATGTATAGAATAAGTACTAAAACTGATGGAAAAAAACGTTATGAATAAGAAATATTCCTAATGCATCAAGAAATCATAATCTATATTTATTTCATATTTATCTATCACCAGTTTCTAGTGACGTAGCTTAAATCAAAAAATTGTCAAAATTGGACGATTTTTCTTAATAACATCAACTAAATATAACAGAAGTACTATAACTGATGGAGAAAAACGTTATGAATAAAAAACGTTCCTAATGCATCAATAAATCATAATCCAGAATGAATACGTATTTATCTATCACCAGTTTCTAGTGATGTAGCAAAAATCACAAAATGTCAAAATTTGATAATTTTTCTTAATAAAACCATGTATAGAATAAGTACTAAAACTGATAGAAAAAAACGTTATGAATAAAAAATATTCCTAATGCATCAAGAAATCATAATCTATATTTATTTCATATTTATCTATCATCAGTTTCTAGTGATGTAGCTTAAATCACAAAATTGTCAAAATTTGATGATTTTTGTTAATAAAATCAAGTATAGAATAAGTACTAAAACTGATGGAGAAAAACTTTATGAATAAAAAATATTCCTAATGCATCAAGAAATCATAATCTATATTTATTTCATATTTATCTATCACCAGTTTCTAGTGATGTAGCTTAAATCAAAAAATTGTCCAAATTCGACGATTTTCCTTAATAACATCAAGTAAATATAACGGAAGTACTAAAACTGATGGAGAAAGACTTTATGAATAAAAAATGTTCCTAATGCATCAATAAATCATAATCCGGAATGATTTCGTATTTATCCATCACCAGTTTCTAGTGATCTAACATAAATCAAAAAATTGTCCAAATTACACGATTTTTCTTAATAATATCAACTAAATATAACGGAAGTACTAAAACTGATGGAGAAAGACTTTATGAATAAAAAACGTTCCTAATGCATCAATAAATGATAATTCAGAATGATTTCGCTTCTATCTATCACCAGTTTCTAGTGATGTAGCTTAAATCAAAAAATTGGCCAAATTGGACGATTTTTCTTAATAACATCAACTAAATATAACGGAAGTACTCAAACTGATGGAGAAAGACTTTATGAACAAAAAATGTTCCTGATGCATCAATAAATCATAATCCAGAATGATTTCGTATTTATCTATCACCAGTTTTTAATGATGTAGCATAAATCACAAAATATCAAAATTTGATGATTTTTGTTAATAAAATCAAGTATAGAATAAGTACTAAAACTGATGGAGAAAAACGTTGTGAATAAAAAATATTCCTAATGCATCAAGAAATCATAATCTATATTTATTTCATATTTATCTATCACCAGTTTCTAGTGACGTAGCTTAAATCAAAAAATTGTCAAAATTGGACGATTTTTCTTAATAACATCAACTAAATATAACGGAAGTACTAAAACTGATGGAGAAAAACGTTATGAATAAAAAACGTTCCTAATGCATCAATAAATCATAATCTGGAATGATTTCGTATTTATCCATCACCAGTTTTTAGTGATGTAGCATAAATCACAAAATGTCAAAATTTGATGATTTTTCTTAATAAAACCATGTATAGAATAAGTACTAAAACTGATGGAAAAAAACGTTATGAATAAGAAATATTCCTAATGCATCAAGAAATCATAATCTATATTTATTTCATATTTATCTATCACCAGTTTCTAGTGACGTAGCTTAAATCAAAAAATTGTCAAAATTGGACGATTTTTCTTAATAACATCAACTAAATATAACAGAAGTACTATAACTGATGGAGAAAAACGTTATGAATAAAAAACGTTCCTAATGCATCAATAAATCATAATCCAGAATGAATACGTATTTATCTATCACCAGTTTCTAGTGATGTAGCAAAAATCACAAAATGTCAAAATTTGATAATTTTTCTTAATAAAACCATGTATAGAATAAGTACTAAAACTGATAGAAAAAAACGTTATGAATAAAAAATATTCCTAATGCATCAAGAAATCATAATCTATATTTATTTCATATTTATCTATCACCAGTTTTTAATGATGTAGCATAAATCACAAAATGTCCAAATTTGATGATTTTTGTTAATAAAATCAAGTATAGAATAAGTACTAAAACTGATGGAAAAAAACGTTATGAATAAAAAACGTTCCTAATGCATCAATAAATCATAATCCAGATTGATTTCGTATTTATCTATCACCAGTTTCTAGTGATAAATCACAAAATTTGACGTTTTTTCTTAGTATTTTATTATTTTTTTAGTATTCCGATTCAGAAGTATTTTTGAACGCAAAGCGAATTATCATAAAAATCCATACCGTTTAGAATGAACAATTAGATAAAATAAGTTCGCTAACTGTTTACAAATCAATGGTTAGCATGCGCAAATCTGCGGTTTCTCTATAAATACTCGCTTACCTGTTTGATATCGAGTATTTTTTACATTGTGCTACACTAGTTTAAATCTTAACAATTATGAATAAGTGTTTATTACTTATCGTGCAATTATTCCTTATAGGACATTTTAAAGGTATGTACTTTGTAATTTAATAATTTATAGTAGTATTAAATTAATAAAAACAAATTTGTTTTAATTAGTTTCTGGGATTCATCGATTCGGTTACAGCAATTACGAACAGCGCAACTGGCGAAGAGAACACATTTCTTGCGGTGGCGAAATGCAATCGCCAATACGAATCGATAGTTTTAAAGCGATCCCTTTGCGAATGCCCGCTTTAGAGATGATTCGATTTCACGATTATTTACCAGGCCCTTTAGACCTAACAAACAACGGTCATTCCGTTACTTTGAGTCTTCCAAAATTGCCCGAAGACGATCCGTACCAAAAATATATTCCGTATGTTTTTGGGGCGAGATTACATAACGAATACGTATTAGAGGGTCTGCATTTTCATTGGGGCGATACTAATAATCAAGGATCTGAACATATTTTTAATGATATTCGATTTCCAATTGAGATGCATATTATTTATAGGAATAGGAAGTATGATACTGTTGGTGATGCTTTAAATTATACGGATGGGTTGACAGTTTTGGGATTTTTCTTTCAAGTAAAAAATAAATTATTTATTGTAAAAATCAATTAATTTTGTTAAAATTTGTTTTAGATAAGTGAAAAAGAAAATAAAGGCTTATCCAACATCGTTCGCAACTTAAAACACGTTTATTCAGTAAACACTCGTTACATGTTAAACGAAACGTTTACTTTAGCCTCTTTATTACCGTCATCAGATGACATGGAACGATTTTACACTTACAAAGGTTCATTAACAACTCCACCGTGTTCCGAAGCTGTTACGTGGATCTTATTTCCGGATCCTTTACCGATTTCGGTTTATCAAGTTCGTTTTTTTTTTAATTATAATCTGAATTTTTGATTTACATTTTTCTTTTTAGATGAACAAGTTCAGAAATTTAGCGTCGGATACAAACCAAACTCCCATCGTGAAAAATTACAGAAAGTTGCAAAAAATTGGTAGTAGACGAGTCTTTGTTAGAAAGATGAAAGACAAGATTCGTTATCACAAAACTAACGAAACTATTTCTTATGATAAATGGGACTGGATGATGCGCCCTAAACGATCTAAAGTTTAACATTAAATTATTTCTTTAAGAATTTATTTTTATTTAATATTAATTGTTGATGATGTTCATCCTTTATATTAGGATTTTTAATTTTTTATATGATATGTAAAAATATATCTATTGAGTGTTTATTTTTTATTATTTACTTAATATCTCAGCTTCTATATTTCAATTCGATATCGATGTTTATAGAAATGAAGAAATTATATTTGCCGCCTTAAATCTTCATTAAATTTGTTTTAAATTGCTTTTTATTTCATAGTAATATCTCAATTAGTTCTTGAGATACGATTTTTTAAAGTTTATTCATATCAAAACAGTCAAATATGCAAATAAAAAATCACAACATCGGTGTTTATGGAAAACAAGGAATTATTTATGGCACATTAATTCTTTATTAAATTTGCTTTAAAATGTTCTTTACTTCATGAAGACATCTCCATTCGTTCTTGAGATACGCTCTTCTAAAGTTCTATATTTCAAATCTATAACAATCAATCATGTCAAGTTGAGTTTAAAATATCACAACATCGGTGTTTATGGGAAATAAGATATTATTTATGGCACATTAATTCTTAACTAAATTTGCTTTAAAATGTTCTTTATTTCATCAACGTATCTTAATTCGTTCTTAAGATATCATTTATTAAAGTTTTATTCCTCAATTCTATAATCAAAAAAGCAGAATTAGATTTAAAAAATCACAAAATCTGTGTTTATGGAAAACAAAAAATTAATTGTTTATTAAATTTGCTTTAAAATGTTGTATATTTCATCGAGATATCTCCATTCGTTCTTGAGATACGCTCTTCTAAAGATCTATATTTCAAATCTATAACAATCAACCATGTCAAGTTGAGTTTAAAATATCACAACATCGGTGTTTATGGAAAACAAGAAATTATTTATAGCACATTAATTCTTAACTAAATTTGCTTTAAAATGTTCTTTATTTCATCATCGTATCTTAATTCGTTCTTAAGATATCATTTATTAAAGTTTTATTCCTCAATTCTATAATCAAAAAAGCAGAATTGGATTTAAATTATCACAACATCGGTGTTTATGTAAAATAATGAATTGTTTATGGTACATTAATTCTATATTAAATTTGCTTTAAAATGTTCTTTATTTCATGGAGATATCTCCATTCGTTCTTGAGATACGCTCTTCTAAATGTCTATATTTCAAATCTATAACAATTGACCATGTCAAGTTGAGTTTAAAATATCACAACATCGGTGTTTATGGAAAATAAGAAATTATTTATGGCACATTAATTCTTTATTAAATTTGCTTTAAAATGTTCTTTATCTTATCATCGTATCTTAATTCGTTCTTAAGATATCATTTATTAAAGTTTTATTAATCAATTCTATAATCAAATTTGATTTAAATAATCACAACATCGGTGTTTATGGAAAACAAGAAATTATTTATGGCACATTAATTCTTTATTAAATTTGCTTTAAAATGTTCTTTATTTCATCATCGTATCTTAATTCGTTCTTAAGATATCATTTATTAAAGTTTTATTAATCAATTCTATAATCAAATTTGATTTAAATAATCACAACATCGGTGTTTATGGAAAACAAGAAATTATTTATGGCACATTAATTCTTTATTAAATTTGCTTTAAATTGCTTTTTATTGCATAGTAATATCTCAATTAGTTCTTGAGATACGATTTCTTAAAGTTTATTCATATCAAAACAGTCAAATATGTAGAATTGGATTTAAAAAATCACAACATCAGTGTTTATGGAAAACAAGAAATTATTTATGGCACATTAATTCTTTATTAAATTTGCTTTAAATTGCTTTTTATTGCATAGTAATATCTCAATTAGTTCTTGAGATACGATTTCTTAAAGTTTATTCATATCAAAACAGTCAAATATGCAGAATTGGATTTAAAAAATCACAACATCGGTGTTTATGGAAAACAAGAAATTATTTATGGCACATTAATTCTTAACTAAATTTGCTTTAAAATGTTCTTTATTTCATCATCGTATCTTAATTCGTTCTTAAGATATTATTTATTAAAGTTTTATTCTTCAATTCTATAATCAAAAAAGCAGAATTGGATTTAAAAAATCACAACATCGGTGTTTATGGAAAACAAGAAATTATTTATGGCACATTAATTCTTTATTAAATTTGCTTTAAATTGCTTTTTATTGCATAGTAATATCTCAATTAGTTCTTGAGATACGATTTCTTAAAGTTTATTCATATCAAAACAGTCAAAAAAGCAGAATTGGATTTAAAAAATCACAACATCGGTGTTTATGGAAAACAAGAAATTATTTACGGCACATTAATTCTTTATTAAATTTGCTTTAAAATGTTCTTTACTTCATGGAGTTATCTCCATTCGTTCTTGAGATACGCTCTTCTAAAGATCTATATTTCAAATCTATAACAATCAATCATGTCAAGTTGAGTTTAAAATATCACAACATCGGTGTTTATGGGAAATGAGATATTATTTATGGCACATTAATTCTTAACTAAATTTGCTTTAAAATGTTCTTTATTTCATCATCGTATCTTAATTCGTTCTTAAGATATTATTTATTAAAGTTTTATTCCTCAATTCTATAATCAAAAAAGCAGAATTGGATTTAAATTATCACAACATCGGTGTTTATGGAAAACAAAAAATTAATTGTTTATTAAATTTGCTTTAAAATGTTGTATATTTCATGGAGATATCTCTATTCGTTCTTGAGATACGCTTTTCTAAAGTTCTATGTTTCAAATCTATAACAATTAACCATGTCAAGTTGAGTTTAAAATATCACAACATCGGTGTTTATGGGAATTGAGATATTATTTATGGCACATTAATTCTTCACTAAATTTGCTTTAAAATGTTCTTTATTTCATCATTGTATCTTAATTCGTTCTTAAGATATCATTTATTAAAGTTTTATTCCTCAATTCTATAATCAAATTGGATTTAAATAATCACAACATTGGTGTTTCTGGAAAACAAGAAATTATTTATGGCACATTAATTCTTTATTAAAGTAGCTTTAAAATGTTCTTTATTTCATGGAGATGTCCCTATTCGTTCTTGAGATACGCTCTTCTAAAGTTCTATATTTCAAATCTATAACAATTAATCATGTCAAGTTGAGTTTAAAATATCACAACATCGGTGTTTATGGGAAATGAGATATTATTTATGGCACATGAATTCTTAACTAAATTTACTTTAAAATGTTCTTTATTTCATCACCGTATCTTAATTCGTTCTTAAGATATGATTTATTAAAGTTTTATTCCTCAATTCTATAATCAAAAAAGCAGAATTGGATTTAAAATATCACAATATCGGTGTTCATGGAAAACAAGAAATTATTTATGGCACATTAATTCTTAACTAAATTTGCTTTAAAATGTTCTTTATTTCATCATCGTATCTTAATTCGTTCTTAAGATATTATTTATTAAAGTTTTATTAATCAATTTTATAATCAAAAAAGCAGAATTAGATTTAAATTATCACAACATCGGTGTTTATCGAAAATAAGAAATTATTTATGGTACATTAATTCTATATTAAATTTGCTTTAAAATGTTCTTTACTTCATGGAGATATCTTCATTCGTTCTTGAGATACGCTCTTCTAAAGTTCTATATTTTAAATCTATAACAATTAACCATGTCAAATTGAGTTCAAAATATCACAAAATCGGTGTTTATGGGAAATGAGATATTATTTATGGCACATTAATTCTTAACTAAATTTGCTTTAAAATATTCTTTATTTTATCATCGTATCGTAATTCGTTCTTAAGATATCATTTATTAAAGTACTCTTCAAGTACTCTTCAGTATTCTTCAATTCTATAATAAAAAAAGCAGAATTGGATTTAAAAAATCACAACATCGGTGTTTATGGAAAACAAAAAATTAATTGTTTATTAAATTTGCTTTAAAATGTTATATATTTCATGGAGATATCTCCATTCGTTCTTGAGATATGCTCTTCTAAAGTTCTATATTTCAAATCTACAACAGTTAACCATGTCAAGTTGAGTTTAAAATATCACAACATCGGTGTTTATGGAAAACAAGAAATTATTTATGGCATATTAATTCTTAACTAAATTTGCTTTAAAATGTTCTTTATTTCATCATCGTATCTTAATTCATTCTTAAGATATCACTTATTAAAGTTTTATTCCTCAATTTTAAAATCAAAAAAGCAGAATTGGATTTAAATTATCACAACATCGGTGTTTATGGAAAGCAAGAAATTATTTATGGCACATTAATTCTTTATTAAATTTACTTTAAAATGTTCTTTATTTCATGGAGATATCTCCATTCGTTCTTGAGATACGCTCTTCTAAAGTTCTATATTTCAAATCTATAACAATTAACCATGTCAAGTTGAGTTTAAAATATCACAACATCGGTATTTATGGAAAATAAAAAATTATTTATGGCACATTAATTCTTTATTAAATTTGCTTTAAAATGTTCTTTACTTCATGGAGATATCTCCATTCGTTCTTAAGATACGATTTTTTAAAATTTTTATTTCATATCTATAACGATCAAACATGGTTGGATTTAAAAAATAATGTTTTAAAATTTTACGAAATCGTGTATATTAATAAATATATATTAATAAGAATAAAAAAAAATAAAACACACCCCAGAGAATTGAAATACACATATATTTCGATGTATTTTGTACACAGACTTACAAATAGGCGTGTGTTACATCGTTTTTTTTTTTTCAATTTCCTTCAAATTTCCACATCTTTTTGTAAACGTTTAAATGATCACACATTCATATATCAATTTATCGGTTTTGAATCAAACATTTTTAACTATTTTTTTCGATTTTATTTTATTTTTTTTTTTAATTTTACGTGGTAATGAGAAACATCACACTGAGAAATACAAATAAAATATAGTTATATATATAATAATATCGTATGTATAATATAATAGTTTTTCCGCACTTTTTTTTTCTTGTAATATATATATTATATTTTATTATGAACCCTAAAACCTTATAATAATATATATATTTTTATAATAATATCCACTTTTTTCATGTACTTAATTTTTTTTATGTATATTTATTAATTGTAATAACGGAGTTGAAACGAAATAAACCATATCACATTATCGTTTCTGTAATTGCAGCACCATAATTCTTTTTATGAACATTACTGAGCATAATCGACCTTCCCATTTATTTTATTCCGTTATTTATTTTATTATTTTTAAGTTTTACATTCGCTTTGCCAATTACTTAATAATTTAAAATTAAAAAAAATAATTTTTTTTTAATATTTTCCAGTTAAATCAAAACTTTTGGGCGGCTGTCGTTTTTTTTTTCGTTTTTTCTATTTACATTGTAATATTGTCGTTGTATAGTCGGATAAATCAAAACAATAAAATAAAAAATATTTATATTGAGAACAATTTAATAATATATCACGCACTGTTTTTAAAAAATTATCGCTTACGATTAATATATATAATATATAATTTTTTTAATATTAATTATTCACATACTAATTTTTTTTTTAGTTTCATTTATATTATTTTTTTTATTATAATAATATACTCGAACTAAGAAAAATATCACATTCGTATTACATCAACTTATGTGTCGAAAAATGTTATTTCACGCCTTCACCAAATCGAAATAACTTAATTAACTTAATTTTTATTTTCGATTTGATGAAAACGATTTAATGTGCGAAAATCATACGCGTACACACATATAAGAGCGGAAATTACATAAACGTGTCTCCTTTTAGATTTAATCGTGTTCTAGATCTATCTACAATTTGCAAAAATTTTGAAGCCAAATATACAATTCATTTTTTTGCTAGGATAATATTTTCTTTTCGGAACAAAAAGGGTTAATTTAGTTTTCTTTTTCATCCTCAATATATAAAAACTACGTAGAATATACGCTTTAAACACCGAAAAACGAGTAACACTTAGTCATTGAAACAGTTTTTTTTTGCATCATTTTCTTTTCATTTTTAAGTCTATGCCCCTCCTATTTTGTATATTTATATAGTTTTTTTTACATTCACTATAACTTACAGTCCAAATTTAATTCAAAAAAATCAATTTAATTTTAAATAAACGAAAATTAATTTCATGTTTTTACATCATCATTAATTTCTGAATTTTTTCTGTTATATTATACGAAGTAGGAACATGTATGTAATTAAATATACTTTATATTATTAATATTATAATAGTATTAATATATTTTTATTTCTTGTATTTACACTGTGCTTTCAATTTATTTTTTTTTAATTTGCTGCGTATCATTAATAATTATAATTTTTTTAAACGTTAAAAACTAATTGGAATATATCATTATGGACTTGCTGCTTAAAGTAGTTAATGCTTTAGGACAAGTTTTATTTGTTTGTATGTTTCATATCTGTGTAGAATCATTATCATTGACGGTTTGAATTGAAAAAGGCACATTTTATGTAAATATAGTAAATCCTTACGTTCTATGGTTTAAAACGGTTTTATGGCTGGCTTTTAATGGACAAGTTTTCGTTAACAAATTGAAATAACGAAATCAAGAAAGAAAAAGTTGTTGCTTTTGATTTGTACCAATTGTTGTAAGTTGCATTGTTATGTCTTAATCATTAATTATAATAGAGATATCTAATATTGTCTATTGACTAACTATTTAAATTTAATTATGTAAAATATATACTATATAGTTTTTTTATTTCAAACTAAGGTTGGAGGATTTAAAATTATTTTCTATAGGTATTAAAATCCTTACAATATTTTAGTTGAGTATTAAAACTCCAGGAAATTGTTGCTTTTTCAAACTATTAAAGGTAACACTTCGGAATCGGAGAGTATTATAAAAAAACCTTTAGAACAAAAGTTGTAGCAAATTTTAATATTAACAATATTGCTCTTTTGCATTTTTGCTCTTAGATGCGTCAATATTGAGAAAATTCCGAAAATATGAAAATTTGATGAAATTGTTGCTTTTTCAAGCTATTAAAGGTAACACTTTGGAATCGGAGAATATTATAAAAAAACTTTTAGAACAAAAGTTGTAGCAAATTTTATTATTAACAATATTGCTCTTTTGCATTTTTACTCTTAGATGCGTCAATATTGAGAAAATTTCGAAAATATGAAAAATTGATGAAATTGTTGCTTTTTAAATCATTAACGGTAACATTCTGGAATCGGAGCACGTTATAAAAAAATTTTTAGAATAAAAGTTGTGTCAAATTTTATTTTGACCAACATTGCTCTCTTGCACTTTTGCTCTTAGATGCGTCAATATCGAGAAAAATACGAAAATATGAAAATTTGATGAAATTGTTGCTTTTTAAATTATTAAAGGTAACATTTTGGAATCGGAGCATGCTATAAAAAAATTTTTAGAATAAAAGTTGTGTCAAATTTTATTTTGATCAACATTGCTCTCTTGCACTTTTGCTCTTAGATGCGTCAATATCGAGAAAAATACGAAAATATTAAAATTTAATGAAATTGTTGCTTTTTCAAGCTATTAAAGGTAACACTTTGGAATCGGAGCATGGTATAAAAAAATTTTTAGAACAAAAGTTGTAGCAAATTTTATTATTAACAATATTGCTCTTTTGCATTTTTGCTCTTAGATGCATCAATATTGAGAAAACTCCAAAAATATGAAAATTTGATGAAATTGTTGCTTTTTAAATCATTAACGGTAACATTCTGGAATCGGAGCACGTTATAAAAAAATTTTTACAATAAAAGTTGTGTCAAATTTTGTTATTAACAATATTGCTCTCTTGCACTTTTGCTTTTAGATGCGTCAATATTGAGAAAACTTCGAAAATATGAAAATTTGATGAAATTGTTGCTTTTTCAAACTATTAAAGGCAATACTTTGGAATCGGAGAATATTATAAAAAAATTTTTAGAATAAAAGTTGTGTCAAATTTTATTGTGACCAACATTGCTCTCTTGCACTTTTGCTGTTAGATGCGTCAATATCGAGAAAATACGAATATATGAAAATTTGATGAAATTGTTGCTTTTTAAATTATTAAAGCTAACATTCTGGAATCGGAGCATATTATAAAAAAATTTTTAGAATAAAAGTTGTGTCAAATTTTATTGTGACCAACATTGCTCTCTTGCACTTTTGCTCTTAGATACGTCAATATTGAGAAAACTCCGAAAATATGAAAATTTGATGAAATTGTTGCTTTTTCAAGCTATTAAAAGTAACACTTTGGAATCGGAGAATATTATAAAAAAACTTTTAGAACAAAAGTTGTAGCAAATTTTATTATTAACAACATTGCTCTCTTGCACTTTTCAATATTAAGAAAACTCCGAAAATATTAAAATTTGATTAAATTGTTGCATAATCGAGACTATAGAATAGGAAAAAGTAAAATCTTTGGAGAGATAATGTTTAGCAGACAATGAGTGGGAGTAGCTGTTCTTCAGCTTGCTGGATGATATGATAGAAACTGATTTATTAGATTGAGCAGATAATACAAGGTATTCAACTTAGTCTTGTTCTTTATAATTGTAAAGAGTAGAGTGGGAGCAGGTTGGCAATGGTATGCAAGACTTTGCAAGAGCTCAAAGTAGATAACTTAGCATAGACAGCAAGAAAAAAGGTCACGACTCTCTCCCATCTTGCATTTTAGTGACCAGGCAATGTGAACTTCATGGCTACCGGACTTGAATATCTCGAGTGTTTCCGAAATTTGAAGAGTTAACTGCAACATAACCTAATTGAACCCATGTCAACCCAATTCAACGCAATCAAACTCATCCCAGCAGTTTTCTTCTTGCTTGTTTCGGATACCCTCCCTTCAACTAATTTCTTGACAGGTTTTAAAAACCTTTATCCAGGTAAACATCCAGATATTTTCCCATCTCTCATCTATTCTGCAATTCTTTCAAGAAAACATTTCATAACGTCATATTCTCTTCCCATCCCACTGGAAGCATTATCTTCCTTTCCGATAGATATGATTTTACTATTCTTTTTATTCCCCATGAGAATTCTTCTTCCTTTATCGCTTCTATTATCATCTCCCATGGTGCTGAGTTGATACGTATTTCTGATATTGCATGACCATTATAGAGAGGCCTCTATGTATTAAGGAAATCTTCTCTTGCTCTTTTTCTCAGTCTTCCCTGGTAATTATCCATCCTGCCATCTCCGTTTCCACGTCCTCTCTGCTATTTCAAACCCAACCCAACCCAATCAGAACCCAAATCTAACCCACCAAATTCAACCCATTTCAACTAAACTTAATACGAATGAAATTGTTGTACTTTAAAATTTTAATACCTATAAAAAATGAAATTAACCATCTCCACCCTACATAACATAGTTAATTGATAATAAAATAAAACATATTATCCACAATTTTTGTCCTAAAGCAAAATGGTACGGAAACATTTTCATTTATTTCATAAAAATTCGACAACAAAAAATATACATATTTATGTAAATGTTTAACATCTTAAAAACTTTGAAATAAAAACAATTTGGGTTGGATTTAATTGGCGTAAAAAACGATTTAATAATAATATAATAATCGGGTTATTTTATTATAATATACAGTTCTGGTTTATTTACTTCTTTTGTATTCCTGATTGTATTTTGAGCAGTTTGTTGTAGAAAAATGAACAACAGTCGGCTTTATTATTTAATCAACTTGAATTCAAGTTAACGTTTTTTTCAGCAACAAGATAATCTATTGTAATAGTGTATAAAAAATAATTTCTTTTTAGTTTTAATTTTATTACTCGGAGGCAGCCTGTTCGATGTTAAACATTTATTAGTTATTACTACACTGAGTTATTTTGTAATTTTCTTTTTTTGGTTACACTGACAAAAGACAGTTCTGTACAGATATTCACAAATATGAGGTATGACAATTTGGCACAGAAAAACATAACGCAACGAATTTTCGATTCTTTTTATTTATAATAAAAATTCGTTGTTCATCCACCTTTCTTTCGTTCTTTTTGGTTTAGATGGCTCTTTATAAAACCACATAAACTAATTATTATTGTTTAATTTGGAAAGAAGAAAAGATAATTATAATTATAAAAAGTTTCGTTTTGAAAAGGCGCCGACGATCAATTGACTACTATTATTTTTTATTAATTATTCGTGACTAGGAAGGAACTACAGTGCTGTGTGTTTACTTTTTTCTTGTTTCCATTAATTAATTTTATTTTTAATTAATTTTTATATTGCTTGGTAACTCACTAATATTAAAATCGATAGACATCGAAAGAACGATTTACAACTAAAAATTAAAATTAAAATCCTCTTTTACTACTTATTAATTTGACGGTTTACTAATTTCATTCGAATCCTTTCATTTTTAAGAGATTCTTAAGAAAAACACAAAAAATAAAAAATCTCACCAAAGACTGTGTTTGAGAAGGGAATATTTTGCTCACAGCCAAATAACAAATTGCGGACTTTCTAGGTTGATAAAAAAATTAATTTTAATCAACCCTTTCAATATACGAATCATCACATTTCCTTCTCCTTTCTATCTTTTTTTTTTAATAATTCGTAAAGGACGGAAAAACAACAAAAATGTTTTCTTATTTTTTGGCTCAATCAACGCGGGCTGTTGAGATGCGTCGTTAAATGCTTCGAGAGGTAATCAGCCCTCGCGAAACATTTCCCACAAGAATCACAATGGTAAGGCCTTTCACCGGTGTGTATTCGAAGATGTCTCGTTAAATCCGATTTCCCCCCAAAAGCCCTACCACAAAACAAACAGACGAAAGGTCTCTCCCCCGTGTGTTTTCTTACGTGTAATTTCAAATTTTCTTTGGATCGCACGCATTTCCCACAAAATGGACAAGCAAACCTCCTTTCTCTTTGCCTTTCCGCCGCATCCGCTCGTAAAAAACTGATAATCGACGCTTCTTGCGCATTCCGATAAGCTTCCGATGTTGATGAAGCAGTACTGCTCGTTGGTCTTGGAAACCCCACCATCGAATCAATTGTGTCATCTTGATCTTGATCCGGATCATTTTTATCAACATCCGAAGAGTTAGCTTCTTGGGTTGCATCATTATCTGAAGATGGCTCCTTTTTAATCGTTATAGTTTCTTCGGCATCTTCAATCGCGAGGGTTTCGTTTGAACTAGAAACTTGATCGCTGTTATCCGGTTGAATCGAACTCGTTTGGCCCGGTTTTGAATCGGAAGATTGGGAATCTGGGTTGGTTTTGCCATGAAGACGCTCCAAAGCGTGATTTAAACGATGTTTCTTAAACGATTTTAAATACCTAAAATTTTTGAAATTAATTATAATTAAAAGTAACTTTTTTTCTTACCTAAATTGCATCCCGCAAACATCACAAGAAAATAATTTATCCGCCGGAAGTCTTGCCCGATGATTTTGCTCTCTATGTTTCACGTAAGCCGATCGGTATCGATAACTTTGACCGCATTGTTCGCAAACGAACGGTTTATCGATTGAACCCAATGCGCCTATGTGTTGTAAAGCCGTGTGTTGTTCTAAAAGCCAAATTGAAGGGAATGCTGCCATACAAGCCGAACATCGAAACATCTCCTCGCCTAATAGGGCCGGATGCATCAAACCCACTTCGAGTAAAGACGTCGCTAACGTCGGAAATGGTAGTGCAAAGGGAGTTGAAGAACGGCTACTGTGGGCACTTTGGGGGCGATCTAAGCATGATGGTGATGTAAAACATCGATCTATCTCAATGGGCTGAAAAAAAAATGATTAAAAATTTCAAAATCGTCAAAAAGAATAAGATTTTCGTAAAAATCAGAAAATTTTAACCCAATTTCATGTATCACACCCCCATATTAATCATAAAATTAAATTTTAAAAGAAAAATTGACACAATAAATTAGTGTTTTGTTTTCGGCCATCTTGATTTTATACAAATCTTTATACTTTGGGTTCTATAACTTTTCGATATGACGTGTTTTCACATGTTTTCACATTTCAAACTTATCCCAATGTCATTTATTACATCAATATATATTAAAAATTTTCTAAAACGTTATAAAAAATAAGATTTTCGTAAAAATCAGAAAATTTTAACCCAATTTCATGTATCACACCCCCATATTAATCATAAAATTAATTTTTAAACGAAAAATTGACACAATTAATTAGTGTTTTGTTTTCGGCCATCTTGATTTTATACGCACGTTGATATCTTGGGTCCTATGACTCTTAGATATGCCGTGTTTGGATTCATTTCACGTCTTTTCTCATTTCAAACTTATTCCGATATCATTTATTACATCAATATATATAAAAAAATTTTTAAAACGTTATAAAAATAAGATTTTCGTAAAAATCAGAAAATTTTAACCCAATTTCATGTATCACACCCCCATATTAATCATAAAATTAATTTTTAAACGAAAAATTGACACAATTAATTAGTGTTTTGTTTTCGGCCATCTTGATTTTATACGCACGTTGATATCTTGGGTCCTATGACTCTTAGATATGCCGTGTTTGGATTCATTTCACGTGTTTTCTCATTTCAAACTTATTCCGATATCATTTATTACATCAATATATATAAAAAAATTTTTAAAACGTTATAAAAATAAGATTTTCGTAAAAATCAGAAAATTTTACCCCAATTTCATGTATCACACCCCTATATTAATCATAAAAATAATTTTTAAACGAAAAATTGACACAAATAATTAGTGTTTTGTTTTCGGCCATCTTGATTTTATACGCATGTTGATATCTTGGATCCTATGACTCTTAGATATGCCGTGTTTGGATTCATTTCACGTCTTTTCTCATTTCAAACTTATTCCGATATCATTTATTACATCAATATATATTAAAAAAAATTTTTAAAACGTTATAAAAATAAGATTTTCGTAAAAATCAGAAAATTTTAACCCAATTTCATGTATCACACCCCTATATTAATCATAAAAATTAAATTTTAAAAGAAAAATTGACACAATTAATTAGTGTTTTGTTTTCGGCCATCTTGATTTTATACGTACGTTTATATCTTGGGTCCTATGTCTCTTAGATACGCCGTGTTTGGATTCATTTCACGTCTTTTCTCATTTTAGACTTATTCCGATATCATTTATTACATTAATATATATTAAAAATTTTCGAAAATGTCTTAAAGGATAAGATTTTCGAAAAAATCAGAAAATTTTAACCCAATTTCATATATCACACCCTCACATTAATCATAAAATTAATTTTTAAACGAAAAATTGACACAATTTATTAGTGTTTTGTTTTCGGCCATCTTGATTTTATACGCACGTTTATATCTTGGGTCCTATGACTCTTAGATATGCCGTGTTTGGATTCATTTCACGTGTTTTCTCATTTCAAACTTATTCCGATATCATTTATTACATCAATATATATAAAAAAATTTTTAAAACGTTATAAAAATAAGATTTTCGTAAAAATCAGAAAACTTTAACCCAATTTCATGTATCACACCCCCATATTAATCATAAAATTAATTTTTAAACGAAAAATTGACACAATTAATTAGTGTTTTGTTTTCGGCCATCTTGATTTTATACACACGTTTATATCTTGGGTGCTATAACTTATAGATATGCCGTGTTTGGGCTCATTTCACGCGTCTTTTAATTATCTATCACAAAAAATGAAAATCATTTATTTTCGGCCATCTTGGATTTTATAAAATATTAAAAATTAAAATATCTCTCAAACTATATTAGCTAAATAGGTCGTGTTTGGACTCATATTAAAAGATTTTTAATCAAGAATATTAATTTTTCATTAAGGACGTTATTAGAAGGAAGAATAAAACGATGCATTTACAATTTTTGAACTTTTTTTATTATTCTAAAACTTTAATACACAAAAATAAAATTACGTCCTAGTAAGAACAAAAAAAAATATTAATAATCAATCGGTCCGGATAAAAGAGAATCATAAACGTTGCCGATATCATTTTTGAGGGTTGTTTGCGATAACGATTCAAGGCGAAACTGAATATAATAATAAACCACTCGGATTAACATCATAATAAACATAACGAGATACAATCAGAAATTAATAGTCGAGAAAAACGTCTAAAAGTGTACTAATTGATATGTGTGTTGTTTCATTATTTTTTTTTAATTTTTTTATTTATTTTTTTTTACTTTGTCTTGCATATACCCTAATATGCGATACAAGTCTCTACGCATCGTGGTACGGAATACTTTTTTAATATGATTTTTTTCATTTAATTATTTTTTTTATACCTTAATGTTTTTTTTATACGAATCATCCCGAAGTGGGCACATTTTTTCTCTTTTATATTTTTTAAAAATTTCCCTTTTTTATGTTTTTAAGAGGATGTGGGTAATATACTGGCTTTAAATTTAAACTATCGACATAACTTAGTGTTTACGGATCACTATTGCGTACGCTATCTTTTTAAATATAAATTATCAGCTATACAGGAACATGGATTGTGTTTATTAACGTTTTTTTTTCCTTTTAATTCGGGAAAAAATTATTCTTTTTTAAACAATTAAATTAACTCATAAAAAAAGGGTTTTTTCTTAATCAAAAATCGTTTCTGGGTTGGTAATTTACTATTTACTTTAATTTAATAACGTCTTTGTTGTGTAATATCTCTTTGATGTGTCTCTTTGAAGTTCTTGTTTTATTAGTTTTCTCGGTAAACTTGCATTAATAATTTAACAGTTCCTTTCTAATAAAAGCAACCTTAAATTATTAATATTTTTAACTTTAATTTTTACGTCTCAGCAATATTTTTTTATTAATCATTTCCTTATTCCAATAAGAACACAAACTTAACATTTTTCAACATTCTTTCCTGGTTTATTTTTTTTATTCTTTTTTAATTTATTTTAGGTTTAATAATTTAAGTTTTAATATAGGTAGTTGGCACTCAACAACATATTAATGTAGTAAATATCTGTAAATAAATCCAGTTATGGTTTGCTTCATTATCTTTTTTATTATTATTATTTCTTATTATTTTTTTT